GAATGCAGCAATGAATGCAGCAGTGAATGCAGCAGTGAATGCAGCAGTGAATGCAGCAATGAATGCAGCAGTGAATGCAGCAGTGAATGCAGCACTGAATGCAGCAGTGAATTCAGCAGTGAATTCAGCAGTGAACGCAGCAGTGAATGCAGCAGTGAATGCAGTGCACTTACATATGTACAGTAAACCAGCGCTGTACACTTTAAGCCTACTGGATAAGACACTCAACAAAATATAAGTGAAAGTAAGAAGGAAGAATATACATCAAGTAAGACCTTCAAGGTACACCTTTGAGGGTACATAATTAGGAATTAATTTTGACATTAATAATAATAATCATAATAATAATAATAATCTTTATTTATACAAGTATATGTATAACGTATATTGTGAAAAATAAATACAATTAATAATGCCCACTGGGTGGATCCAGTGGGCATTATTAACTAATCTCATCTCTCCCATCACCCACAATTAACCCCATCTCTCCCATCACCCACAATTAACCCCATCTCTCCCATCACCCACAATTAACCCCATCTCTCCCATCACCCACAATTAACCCCAAGTTGGGGGTGGTATTGCAATCTATTACTCTAACCAATTATCTTGTCTTAGCACCACTTGCTTTAGTGATGAATATGGGGAATACATTTTTGCTAATTTTACTGTAAAAACCTTAAGACGCCTATAACAATCAGTGCCATTTACCGGATACCCCACACAAACATCCCAAATTTCAGTGAGAAATTAAAGTCACTAATAACAAACAGACAAATGAATAAGCACCACCTTCTCTTAGCTGGAGACTTCAACATCAACCTTGGCTTACTAGATGATCAGCCTGTAACTGATTTCATCAACAATATGAACAACACACTTCTCATACCAACAATAACTAAACCAACCAGGCTCACTGAGACAAGTGCAACCATAATAGACCACATATGGACCAATATACTAGCCCCCCTTAAATCAGGGATAATCACAGATAGCACTACAGACCACTACCCTACCTTCCTCCTGACAAACATTAGTAAACCACCACTTGAATACAACAAAGTCTCATTTAGACTCCATGACGAGGCCTCAGTAAGGAAGTTCACAGCTGTCCTAGAGACTGTTGATTGGCCTACAGAATTCTCCAAGGCCAGTGGTATTGATGACTGGACAGACATTTTTCTTAACAAATTACTTAGACTATACAACAAACATTGTCCTATAAAAACAAAACAGATCACAAACAAACGGCTTGGTTGCCCATGGCTAACCAGCACCATTCTGAAATCCATTGACAAGAAACACCAATATGAAAAGCAATATAGACAGGGCTTAATACACAAAGATATTCTTAAACACTATTCATCAGCTCTCACCAAAGTAATAAAGAAAGCCAAACAACTATACTACTCCAGTAGATTCACAGACACTAGAGCAGATATAAAAAAGACCTGGAAAACACTCTCTCAGATTCTAGGGCCCCACAAACTGAGAAAAACCAAGAATATTGTCCTAACTAAACCTAATGAAACACCACTACATCCCACTGACACAGCTAACAAGATAAACGACTTCTTCTCAACCATAGGATCTAATCTCGCCAGTAAAATCCCACATACCAATGCCCATGCCGGGGACTACCTAGATGGGAATTTCCCTAATTCCTTCTATCTTGCACCAACTGAGCCCACGGAAGTCACTGAGATTATAAAGTCACTTAAAAATAACTCGGGGAATCTGTCTCATGTCCCACCACTACTGTACAAACGAGCGGCCCATGTCCTTTCGCATGCTATTTCATTACTTTTTAACAAGTCACTAGAGACTAGCACCTTCCCGAAACTACTCAAGATGGCAAGGGTTACACCAATACATAAAGGTGGTGACCCTACAGACTTAAACAACTATAGGCCAATATCTAACTTACCATTGCTATCCAAAATCTTTGAGAAACCCGTGCACAGGAGACTGTATTCATTTATAACGGCTCAAAACATACTCACCCCCTGCCAATTTGGATTCAGGAAAAATAAAAGCACTAATGATGCAATCATAAAAATGCTAGATCTGCTTTACACAGCATTGGAAAATAAGGAATATCCACTAGGAATTTTTATTGACCTAAGAAAAGCTTTTGACACAGTAGACCACGACATCCTACTCCACAAACTTGATCATTACGGTATAAGAGGCCATGCGCTTGCTTATTTCAAATCTTACATTACTAATAGGTATCAGTACGTCACCATTAAAGACACAGCATCAGCAACACGGCCACTTGATACTGGAGTTCCGCAGGGAAGTGTCCTTGGTCCCCTGCTCTTCCTCATATACATCAATGACCTTCCAAACGTATCCCAACACCTGAAACCCATTCTCTTTGCTGATGACACGACTTGTGTCATCTCTCACCCTAATCTTGCCACCCTCAACACCATTGTGAATGAGGAGCTGATTAAAATATCGACTTGGATGACAGCCAATAAACTTACGCTTAACACTGACAAAACCTACTATATTATGTTTGGTAGCAGAGCAGGAGATGCACAAATTAACATTAAGATTGACAACACTCTAATTACCAGAAATAATGGGGGCAAATTCCTAGGCTTATACCTTGACAACAACCTGAATTTCAGCACCCATATCCAGCATATAACCAAAAAAGTATCCAAAACGGTTGGGATCCTCTCCAAGATATGATACTACGTGCCGCAAAATGCCCTTCTCACACTATACCACTCACTTATTTATCCATACCTCACCTATGCTATTTGTGCTTGGGGATCAACTGCAGCAACACACCTAAAGCCAATAATAACCCAACAAAAAGCTCCAGTAAGAATAATCACTAAATCCCATCTCTGGCAACACACCCCCCCCACTCTTCATAGACCTAAACTTACTCCCAGTTCAGTACATCCACACTTACTACTGTGCAATCTACATCTACAGGGCCTTAAACTCTAATATCAACCTTGACCTAAAACGCTTTCTTGATAGTTGTGACAGAACCCACAGGCATAATACCAAACACAATCATCTCTACGACATTCCCCGTGTCCGACTAAACCTTTACAAAAATTCAATGTATGTCAAAGGCCCTAAAATCTGGAATACCCTACCTGAGAACTCTAGAACTGCAGACACATTCATCACCTTCAAAACTACCATTAGAAAACATCTTATCTCCCTGATACACCCCGTCAACTAACTACACGAATACCACCTGGTGGTTCACACTTACACTCACTCACTCATTTGACCATAAACAGAAATATTAACCTCAATCTTAAAATAATGAATCCTGTGATACTCCAATACTGAAACTATGTACTGTGCCAAAACAAAAGCATTCACATTGCTAAACTCACAAACTAGTATTTAGTCACTTAGCCATAATACCAACTTACCTCATAATTTGTAATATTTTACAATTAAGAATAAAACTAAGTCTGCCCGAAATGCCTAGCCATGCTAAGCGTTCTAGTGGTACACTCTGTAATCACAATTTTACTACATGTAAACCACACAATAACCAAATTTCTGTAAACTCAGCATTGTAATCCTTATAGAGAATAAACTTTGAATCTCTCCCGTCCCGTCCAGCACTTCTTTACTACCCTCCCTTTCCTTCCTTCCATCCCTCCCATCCTTTCCAGCAGCCGCCAACCAACATCCTATCCTATCCATCACTCCTTAACCATCATCCCCATTCCATCCAACACTTCATAATCCCCATTCTTGCCATTCCGTCCCCCACCTGCTGCCACAACACGGAGGAGGGTAAGAGAGTGAGTGTGGGCACTGCTTTGGGAATTAATGGTTATTGATTGTTTATGACTGGCCCTGCCCGGCCCAGTACCCAGGAGAGGGTCGTGTCTGGCCCAGTGCCTGGTGGGAGGTCTTCATACTGGCACGCACACACAGCGGGGAGAGGAAGGAAAGAGACAGAGAAAGAATAAATGAGGAAAGAGACGAGAGTCAGGAAAAAGGGTGGTAACTGGGAACCAAGATCAGAAAAAAACGGAAATAAATTGGAAAAGAAAGTAGATTGGTTGAAATTAGTTCACCATACATCTTTCGTGTGTGTGTTTAAAATTTTAAGCTTCTTGACGTGTTAGAAGCAGTGAGGAAGAGCCACACTAAAGTGGATGATACAATTCACACCACCTACAAACTGAAGGTGAAATCAGACGACATTTCTACCTATACTGGACTTAGCTTCATCCACGGACTGTGCTTGGGAGATAGTCTTCCAAGTACACTCACAGTAAGAAGAATATGTATAGAGAGGTGTGTATCTCAGTGTATATACACTGATTATTATATTATTATAATCATACAGCGCTGCAGGGTAGGGTATGCTAAAGGTGTAATATGCCTGATCAGAGACCAGCGAGGGTGTAGAGTATAACAGAGGTAGAGTTAGTAAGGCCGGTGAGGAATGCTGAAGGAAGTATAATCAAAACTGGTGTAATAAATCTGTTGCCGACAAAAAGTCGAAGCTGGAGTCTGTGTCAGAGGTGGGGCCGTCAGCGAGGAGGGAAGATAAAGTAAGAGTGTTAGTGTATATACACTGAGAGTTTTCCTTAATCCTTATTATAAGAGTTAAAGTATTCTTGACTGGTGGTGAATAGGCTACATAAAAAAAGTAAGTTTCCCCCGTCTTCTAATAACATGTTCATTTTTCCACTATAATCTACCTTGTCCATAGATTTGTTAAGTTATACCATGAATTAAGGAAAGATCCCGGACTTCACCTTACGAGACAAAGCGAATGCGATAGTAATTATGAATATGCTAGATTATAGTGGATAGTTGATAGGATTTAAACCTCATTAATCAATCATCCAAGATATCCTCATCCACGCAAAAGTGACCCATTTTTGGTGTTAGTGGCTGGGTACTACCGTCATAAACCTCGCTCTTCTATTGGTTAGAACACAAATGTATATCCACACACTCCTGCTATTGGTCACTCACAGGCAGGGCTGACACAGTGAAGAGCTGAGACTGGGCACGTTAACAGCATCCACTGTGACTGTTACAGTGGTGTTGTTGTGGTGGCTGCAGTGATCTCTCGTCCGCCTGTGACAAGGGTGATGGTATTGTGTTAGTGGTATGCAACAAGTGGTACCCTGTCACTGGTGGTGTTTCAGTGGTACTGTGTCAGTGGTAGTATGTCAGTGGTACTGTGTCAGTGGTAGTATGTCAGTGGTACGTGGCAAGTGGTACTCAGTGGTGTTGTTTCAGTAGTGCTGTGTCAGTGGTGTTGGCCAGTGGTACTTGGTCAGGGGTGTTGTTTCAGTAGTGCTGTGTCAGTGGTGTCGGCTAGTGGTACTTGGCCAGTGGTGCTTGTCAGTGGTACTTTCTACAAAAACTTCTCCATAGGTGGGTGTTGGTGGTAAGTAAATGACCTCGTTTTTTTGCGAAGTATAGCGACTGTAGTGTTGTGAGTGTAGTGTTGTGAGTGTAGTGTTGTGAGTGTAGTGTGAGTGTTGTGGGTTAGTGTTGATCTTGCTGCTTAAATTCATTAGTTGACTTCATGTAGAAATAAGCAGCTTAAACGAGAGAAATTGACTATTTCCTTATTATATTACAGTCTCTCTCTCTCTCTCTCTCTCTCTCTCTCTCTCTCTCTCTCTCTCTCTCTCTCTCTCTCTCTCTCTCTCTCTCTCTCTCTCTCTCTCTCTCTCTCCTCTCTCTTCTCTCTCTCTCTCTCTCTCTCTCTCTCTCTCTCTTCCCTAACAGGTTCAACTATGGCCGCTCATAACAGAGATGAAAACAGCTTCAGCTTGACCCACGAGGCCGACCACGAGGCCGCCCACGAGGTCGCCCACGAGACCACTCACATGCTACTCCAGCAGGCCAGACACCCACCCTCGCTGCCTCCCGCTGGTGGCTTAGATGAACCTCGAACATCTGACTCTGATGAAGAGGGCGAGGTTCTCTTGACTGATGCCATGGTGGATGAAATACTTGGTCCTGAGAGCTTCACCAGGTGAGTGGTGGTAGTGGTGGTAATAATGGTGGTAGTGGTGGTAATAATGATGGTACGTAGTGATGATGGTGATGGTAATAATGGTGGTAGAGGCGATGGTGGTAATTATGGTGGTAGTGGTGATTGTGGTGGTCTTAATGTTGGTAGTGGTGGTAATAATGTTGGTAGTGGTGGTAATAATGTTGGTAGTAGTGGTAATAATTGAGGAAGTGGGGCTGGTAATAGTAATTGTGGTGGGAATAATTGTGGTAGTGGGGCTGGTAGTGGTAATCGTGGTAGTAATAATTGTGGTAGTGGGGCTGGTAGTGGTAATTGTGGTAGTAATAATTGTGGTAGTGGGACTGGTAGTGGTAATTGTGGTAGTAATAATTGTGGTAGATGGGCTGGTAGTGGTAATTGTGGTAGTAATAATTGTGGTAGATGGGCTGGTAGTGGTAATTGTGGTAGTAATAATTGTGGTAGTAATAATTGTGGTAGTAATAATTGTGGTAGTAATAATTGTGGTAGTAATAATTGTGGTAGTAATAATTGTGGTAGTGGGGCTGGTAGTGGTAATTGTGGTAGTAATAATTGTGGTAGATGGGCTGGTAGTAGTAATTGTGGTAGTAATAATTGTGGTAGTGGGGCTGGTAGTGGTAATTGTGGTAGTAATAATTGTGGTAGATGGGCTGGTAGTGGTAATTGTGGTAGTAATAATTGTGGTAGTAATAATTGTGGTAGATGGGCTGGTAGTGGTAATTGTGGTAGTAATAATTGTGGTAGTAATAATTGTGGTAGTAATAATTGTGGTAGTAATAATTGTGGTAGTGGGGCTGGTAGTGGTAATTGTGGTAGTAATAATTGTGGTAGATGGGCTGGTAGTGGTAACTGTGGTAGTAATAATTGTGGTAGATGGGCTGGTAGTGGTAATTGTGGTAGTAATAATTGTGGTAGTAATAATTGTGGTAGATGGGGCTGGTAGTGGTTGTAGTGAAGGTTCATTCGTGGTGTAGACTCCTATATATATTGAACTTGCAGTTGTGACAGACAGAGAGTTCTTCAACTCGGCTGTAGTACATCTCTTTGCTTTGGTCAGGTCTGTGGTACACACCTCTTCTTTTACAGGTGCGGGGTGGGGTGTGTGGGCGGTGGGTGGCTGCAGTGGGCGGCGCGGTCGGAGGTGTACTTGCTGGTGTTCAGCTTAATGGCAGTAAGTCAGGGCGCCTTCTACGCTTACGTCTCCAGCACTCTCACTACAGTAGAACGTCACTTCAACCTACCCAGCTCCCTCACAGGTGCCTAGCTCACTACCTGGTACTCACACAGTTGCCTACCTCCCTACCTGGTACTCACACAATTACCTACCTACCAACCTGGTACTCACACAGGTACCTCTTCCACTCTCTGGTACTCACACAAGTGTCTCCGTACTTCCTCGTACTCACAGGCTCCTGCCCGACTAATTGTTACTCTCAAGTACTCTAACCTCTTTCACTGGGTTTGCAGGAAACTCCCTCACAACACAGATATACACAACATTAAATGGGTCTAATAATTCCATCGTGGATGGCTCCAAAATATATTCTGCCGACGATAGTGAAGAAACGACGCTTTTCCAGAACCTGCTTTTGTTTTGATGACCTCTCCCTCCATGAAGAGCTTCATTAGGTCATGACCTGATGAAGTTGGTTGTCATTTGACACTTGTCCGTGGAAGAATAAAACACCAGCACCGTACCTCCAACCACTAAGCCTCTGTGTCGTCCACAGGTTTCATTGGGACAGGGAACGACGTTCTTCAGGTGTTTCTGTCGTTGCCTCTGGCTTACTTCTCTGGCTACGGTCATCGGCCACGCTGGATGGCTGCAGGACTCCTGGTCTCCACATTGGGGTGTTTCTTCAGCGTGGCTCCACACTTCATCTTCGGCCCTGGAGACTACTCTCACCTCTTCCTGGTGAGATAAGTGTGCCACGAGGGGCGCTGGGAGTTGTTAAGAGATCCAGGGAAGTGTTAATGAGTCTTTACCAGCATTAAGGGATCCAGGAAAGTGTTAATGAGTCTTTAGCAACATTAAGGGATCCAGGGAAGTGTTAATGAGTCTTTAGCAGCATTAAGGGATCCAGGGAAGTGTTAATGAGTCTTTAGCAGCATTAAGGAATCCAGGGAAGTGTTAATGAGTCTTTAGCAGCATTAAGGGATCCAGGGAAGTGTTAATGAATCTTTAGCAACATTAAGGGATCCAGGGAAGTGTTAATGAGTCTTTAGCAGCATTAAGGGATCCAGGGAAGTGTTAATGAGTCTTTAGCAGCATTAAGGGATCCAGGGAAGTGTTAATGAGTGTTCAGAAGCATTAAGGGATCCAGGGAAGTGTTAATGAGTCTTTAGCAGCATTAAGGGATCCAGGGAAGTGTTAATGAGTCTTTAGCAGCATTAAGGGATCCAGGGAAGTGTTAATGAGTGTTCAGAAGCATTAAGGGATCCAGGGAAGTGTTAATGAGTCTTTAGCAGCATTAAGGGATCCAGGGAAGTGTTAATGAGTGTTCAGAAGCATTAAGGGATCCAGGGAAGTGTTAATGAGTCTTTAGCAGCATTAAGGGATCCAGGGAAGTGTTAATGAGTCTTTAGCAGCATTAAGGGATCCAGGGAAGTGTTAATGAGTCTTTAGCAGCATTAAGGGATCCAGGGAAGTGTTAATGAGTGTTCAGAAGCATTAAGGGATCCAGGGAAGTGTTAATGAGTCTTTAGCAGCATTAAGGGATCCAGGGAAGTGTTAATGAGTCTTTAGCAGCATTAAGGGATCCAGGGAAGTGTTAATGAGTCTTTAGCAGCATTAAGGGATCCAGGGAAGTGTTAATGAGTGTTCAGAAGCATTAAGGGATCCAGGGAAGTGTTAATGAGTCTTTAGCAGCATTAAGGGATCCAGGGAAGTGTTAATGAGTCTTTAGCAGCATTAAGGGATCCAGGGAAGTGTTAATGAGTCTTTAGCAGCATTAAGGGATCCAGGGAAGTGTTAATGAGTGTTCAGAAGCATTAAGGGATCCAGGGAAGTGTTAATGAGTCTTAGCAGCATTAAGGGATCCAGGGAAGTGTTAATGAGTCTTTAGCAGCATTAGGGATCCAGGGAAGTGTTAATGAGTCTTTAGCAGCATTAAGGGATCCAGGGAAGTGTTAATGAGTCTTTAGCAGCATTAAGGGATCCAGGGAAGTGTTAATGAGTGTTCAGAAGCATTAAGGGATCCAGGGAAGTGTTAATGAGTGTTCAGAAGCATTAAGGGATCCAGGAAGATAAAAAGGTGTATGGCAAAACAAAATTTTCTGTGGCATACGCAGCGTATGTGAAAAAATCTAAATTATGATGCAAATTCGTTACATTTTGCAATAATTGGTATCGTATTGATCTGTTCTAAGAGTGTATATGATTTTGATGTATATATTTTGATATATATATTTTGCATTTCTCGTGATTTTTTAATGGAAATATTAGAAATGTGAGTCTCGTGTACGTGTTCCTTCAGGACACACGCGATCCTGACAATGGCACCTTGAAGCAGCCGGAAGGTACGTCAGTTAGTTGTTTAGACTGATGTTTGACCTATGGTGGTGTCACTACATACCCATCGTGTGTCAGGTACTCCATACCCATCCTCTGAGTGGTAGGTATACCATACCCATTCTGTGGGTAGTAGATGCCTGTCACAGTCATCCTGTGGGTGGTAGTCAGAAGATGACAAGGGCACATAATGGGTCCAGGAACTGGGTTCCAACATTTCTTAACTAAGCAAGTTGCAACAGTAGTAATGAACTATTTACAGTTTTACTGATCCAGTAGCAACTTTTATACGTTCTTTACTTAATGAATTTCGTCATGTAAACATGACGATGAAATGTATTCTGTGTTGTAGTCATGTTATGTATACTGAGAGAAATATTGCACTGTAGACAAGTCTGAAGAGAGAAACACAAGGTTGTGGAACAAGATCTGTGTAGCGCTTTATTTAGTCAGCACTTGATGAAGCTTCACACACAGCGAAGAGTTATTTCAGCCTGCCTCTCTCTCTCTCTCTCTCTCTCTCTCTCTCTCTCTCTCTCTCTCTCTCTCTCTCTCTCTCTCTCTCTCTCTCTCTCTCTCTCTCTCTCTCTCTCTCTCTCTCTCTTTCTCTCTCCTTGCAACGGTCAATCATTTTGACTTTCCCGTTCTCCACCGCCCATCCTCCACACCCACAATGGGCGGGGTCCGTGGCCTGGATGGCGAGTTAGTGCCACAGTGCTTCCTCAGAGTGGGCGTGGTGTGGGCGTGGGCGTGAGGAGGACGCTGGCTGTAACGTCACCTCGTCAACATCCTTGAATACAGAACAGTACTCAGTAGTGGCGCTGCAGTTCCTAGGACAGGTGAGTATCTTCAACTACAACTGTAACATACAGATCAACAATTGTAAACATGAATATTCTTATTTGTATCAATATTGACTTCAGAGTCGAACTTTAAATACCATTTAAAGGTTATTAAGCTCAACGAACACAAATTTCTTATCATTCCGCACACTTCCATCTTCCAGTTTTCTCTAGACTTTATTTATCTCCTCATAGGTCGTCTTATTTTATTCCAGGTTCTGTCTGGGTTTACCAACACACTTTTCTACGTTGTGGGTTACACTTACCTGGACGAGGCCGTCAACAAGGAGCAAGTTCCTCTCTACTTTGGTGAGAGTAGCATATATATATATATTATATATATATATATATATATATATATATATATATATATATATATATATATATATATATATATATATATATATATATATATATATATATATATATATATATATTATCAAGATTCTTCATCAGTGTTACGGGAGAATAACAGGAAAATACGAGAATGTAATATTCACACTTGGGTTAGAGCGAGACTTGAGAACTTGTCGTGACAAACAGTTAACTTGTTCTGACGATACCATGTCCTGGACTGGACGTGATGGTACTGTGTATTATACTGGACTGAGCTGTTGCAGGGTATGTGATGCGGGTTCTTGTTCCTCAGCTGTGTCTGGTTGCATGAGAATCATGGGACCGGTGGTGGGCATGACCCTGGCCTCGTGGGCACTGCGACAGTGGGTGGACCCAGCTGCCACGCCCACCATACTACCCACACACCCACAGTGGGTAGGCGCCTGGTGGATAGGTACGATTCTCCCTCTTTTGTTTACACTATGACGGAATGTATCTGAGGATAGAGTCAATTGTGTTTTATTCTCTCTCTCTCTCTCTCTCTCTCTCTCTCTCTCTCTCTCTCTCTCTCTCTCTCTCTCTCTCTCTCTCTCTCTCTCTCTCTCTCTCTCTCTCTCTCTCTCTCTCTCTCTCCCTCTCTGACTTTAATTTTCGACTTTAATTTTCGACTTTATTTCCTTTTCTATCCATTCCTGAAGTTAGTTACCAGTGTTGGTGCTTCCACACACAGGTTACCAGTGTTGGTATTCCCACAGGTTACCCAATGTTCGTGCTCCCACACCAGTGTTGGTGCTCCCACATCAGTGTTGGCACTCCCACAGGTTACCCAGTGTTGGCACTCCCACAGGTTACCCAGTGTTGGTGCTCCCACAGGTTACCCAGGGTTGGTGCTCCCACAGGTTACTCAGAGTTGGTACTCCCACAGGTTACCCAATGTTCGTGCTCCCACACCAGTGTTGGTGCTCCCACATCAGTGTTGGCACTCCTACAGGTTACCAGTGTTGGCACTCCCACAGGTTACCCAGTGTTGGCATCGCTGCTGGTGTTGACCTCGACATTCCTTGTGTTGATGCCCCGGACGCTGCCAGCTGCCCGAGAGAGGAACTTAGAGAGACTAAGAGCGGCATCCAGGCTGGGTGGTGCTACCCTCACCTCCTACTGCGCCTCTCTCAGACCTCTCTCCCACACTGCAGCTCCAGGTGAGTGCATGAGGCGATAAACCCAAATGTGGATGTAACAAACACATGAAAGACAGTAAGTACATCAGTAGCGCTACAACTACTGTTATAACAGACCAGTAGCACTACAAGAACTGTTGCAACAGACCAGTAGCACTACAAGAACTGTTGCAACAGACCAGTAGCACTACAAGAACTGTTGCAACAGACCAGTAGCACTACAAGAACTGTTGCAACATACCAGTAAAACTACAACTGTTGCATCAGACCAGTACAACTACACCAACTGTTGCAACAGACCAGTAGAACCATAACGGCTGTTGCAACAACAGACCAGTAGAACCATAACGACTGTTGCAACAGACCAGTAGAACTAAAAGAACTGGTGCAACAGACCAGAAGAACTACACCAACTGTTGCAACAGACCAGAAGAACTACACCAACTTTTGCAACAGACCAGTAGAACCATAACGACTGTTGCAACAACAGACCAGTAGAACTAAAAGAACTGTTGCAACAGACCAGTAGAACTACACCAACTGTTGCAACAGACCAGTAGAACTAAAAGAACTGTTGCAACAGACCAGTAAAACTACACCAACTGTTGCAACAGACTAGAAGAACTACACCAACTGTTGCAACAGACCATAAGAACTACACCAACTGTTGCAACAGACCATAAGAACTACACCAACTGTTGCAACAGACCAGAAGAACTACACCAACTGTTGCAACAGACTAGAAGAACTACACCAACTGTTGCAACAGACCAGAAGAACTACACCAACTGTTGCAACAGACCAGAAGAACGACACCAACTGTTGCAACAGAAAGAAGAACTACACCAACTGTTGCAACAGACCAGAAGAACTACACCAACTGTTGCAACAGACTAGAAGAACTACACCAACTGTTGCAACAGACCAGAAGAACTACACCAACTGTTGCAACAGACCAGAAGAACTACACCAACTGTTGCAACAGACCAGAAGAACTACACCAACTGTTGCAACAGACCAGAAGAACTACACCAACTGTTGCAACAGACCAGAAGAACTACACCAACTGTTGCAACAGACCAGAAGAACTACACCAACTGTTGCAACAGACTAGAAGAACTACACCAACTGTTGCAACAGACTAGAAGAACTACACCAACTGTTGCAACAGACTAGAAGAACTACACCAACTGTTGCAACAGACCAGAAGAACTACACCAACTGTTGCAACAGACCAGAAGAACTACACCAACTGTTGCAACAGAAAGAAGAACTACACCAACTGTTGCAACAGACCAGAAGAACTACACCAACTGTTGCAACAGACCAGAAGAACTACACCAACTGTTGCAACAGACTAGAAGAACTACACCAACTGTTGCAACAGACCAGAAGAACTACAACTGTTGCAACAGACCAGAAGAACTACACCAACTGTTGCAACAGACCAGAAGAACTACAACTGTTGCAACAGACCAGAAGAACTACAACTGTTGCAACAGACCAGTAGAACTACACCAACTGTTGCAACAGACTAGAAGAACTACACCAACTGTTGCAACAGACCAGAAGAACTACACCAACTGTTGCAACAGACTAGAAGAACTACACCAACTGTTGCAACAGACTAGAAGAACTACACCAACTGTTGCAACAGACCAGAAGAACTACAACTGTTGCAACAGACCAGAAGAACTACACCAACTGTTGCAACAGACCAGAAGAACTACAACTGTTGCAACAGACCAGAAGAACTACAACTGTTGCAACAGACCAGTAGAACTACACCAACTGTTTGCAACAGACTAGAAGAACTACACCAACTGTTGCAACAGACCAGAAGAACTACACCAACTGTTGCAACAGACCAGAAGAACTACACCAACTGTTGCAACAGACTAGAAGAAACTACACCAACTGTTGCAACAGACCAGAAGAACTACACCAACTGTTGGCAACAGACTAGAAGAAACTACACCAACTGTTGCAACAGACTAGAAGAACTACACCAACTGTTGCAACAGACTAGAAGAAGTACACCAACTGTTGCAACAGACTAGAAGAACTACACCAACTGTTGCAACAGGACCAGAAGAACTACAACTGTTGCAACAGACCAGAAGAACTACACCAACTGTTGCAACAGACCAGAAGAACTACAACTGTTGCAACAGACCAGAAGAACTACAACTGTTGCAACAGACCAGTAGAACTACACCAACTGTTGCAACAGACTAGAAGAACTACACCAACTGTTGCAACAGACCAGAAGAACTACACCAACTGTTGCAACAGACTAGAAGAACTACACCAACTGTTGCAACAGACCAGAAGAACTACACCAACTGTTGCAACAGACCAGAAGAAACACACCAACTGTTGCAACAGACCAGAAGAACTACAACTGTTGCAACAGACCAGAAGAACTACACCAACTGTTGCAACAGACCAGAAGAACTACACCAACTGTTGCAACAGACCAGAAGAACTACACCAACTGTTGCAACAGACCAGAAGAACTACAACTGTTGCAACAGACCAGAAGAACTACACCAACTGTTGCAACAGACCAGAAGAAACTACACCAACTGTTTGCAACAGACCAGAAGAACTACACCAACTGTTGCAACAGACCAGAAGAACTACACCAACTGTTGCAACAGACTAGAAGAACTACACCAACTGTTGCAACAGACCAGAAGAACTACACCAACTGTTGCAACAGACCAGAAGAACTACACCAACTGTTGCAACAGACCAGAAGAAACTACACCAACTGTTGCAACAGACCAGAAGAACTACACCAACTGTTGCAACAGACCAGAAGAAACTACACCAACTGTTGCAACAGACCAGAAGAACTACACCAACTGTTGCAACAGACCAGAAGAACTACACCCAACTGTTTGCAACAGACCAGAAGAACTACACCAACTGTTGCAACAGACCAGAAGAACTACACCAACTGTTGCAACAGACCAGAAGAACTACACCAACTGTTGCAACAGACCAGAAGAACTACACCAACTGTTGCAACAGACCAGAGAAACTACACCAACTGTTGCAACAGACCAGAAGAACTACACCAACTGTTGCAACAGACCAGAAGAACTACACCAACTGTTGCAACAGACCAGAAGAACTACACCAACTGTTGCAACAGACCAGAAGAACTACACCAACTGTTGCAACAGACTAGAAGAACTACACCAACTGTTGCAACAGACCAGAAGAACTACACCAACTGTTGCAACAGACCAGAAGAACTACACCAACTGTTGCAACAGACCAGAAGAACTACAACTGTTGCAACAGACCAGAAGAACTACACCAACTGTTGCAACAGACTAGAAGAACTACACCAACTGTTGCAACAGACCAGAAGAACTACACCAACTGTTGCAACAGACCAGAAGAACTACACCAACTGTTGCAACAGACCAGAAGAACTACACCAACTGTTGCAACAGACCAGAAGAACTACACCAACTGTTGCAACAGACCAGAAGAACTACACCAACTGTTGCAACAGAAAGAAGAACTACACCAACTGTTGCAACAGACCAGAAGAACTACACCAACTGTTGCAACAGACCAGAAGAACTACACCAACTGTTGCAACAGACCAGAAGAACTACACCAACTGTTGCAACAGACCAGAAGAACTACACCAACTGTTGCAACAGACCAGAAGAACTACACCAACTGTTGCAACAGACCAGAAGAACTACACCAACTGTTGCAACAGACCAGAAGAACTACACCAACTGTTGCAACAGACCAGAAGAACTACACCAACTGTTGCAACAGACCAGAAGAACTACACAACTGTTGCAACAGACCAGAAGAACTACACCAACTGTTGCAACAGACCAGAAGAACTACACCAACTGTTGCAACAGACCAGAAGAACTACACCAACTGTTGCAACAGACCAGAAGAACTACACCAACTGTTGCAACAGTAGCATCATAACTGTTTACACCCAGAACAAGTAATTAGATTCTTAATATTAAGATGTAAAGAATATTGGAGAACAGAATAGATTACAGTAGTTAACAGTTCAATGACCCTAGTGTAGTTGAGTGCCTCTGGAGCAACCAACCACCCAAATACACAAGATAAATTATTATTATTATAATCAAGGGGGATGCGCTAAACCCGGAGGATTATACAGCGCCTGGGAGGGGGGATGTGGAAGGCATTCAGGCTTAATTCGGGGAACTGGAGCACAGATCCAATTCCCTAAATCAAGAGCCCCTCACCAACATCAAGGAACCTTCCCTGAGGGGTCACAAGATAAAGCACTTCTATATTGACTTGACTCTGCTGAGAAGGGTCTCAGTGTCAAGTCGAAATATACAATATACAATATACAATATACAATATTTTATTTTATTATCTCCAAGCTGTTAGATATTGACGAAGAATATATTGATTGTGTTGTTTTTACATTATTTACAATTGTTGTGAAAGAAGATCTGCCTTAGATGTTTAACGAAGTGCTTCTCAAAGTCACGTTTTTCAAAAATGTTTAAAGGAAGTACAACGTACGTTTAGTTATGATGTTTTGTGAAAGAGCATAATGAAGTAACCTTGACATGAACCATCAAGTTTAAACTACCTGAGAACAGTGATATAAATAATGCAGTAAACCCACAAGTTGATGAATGAGACACTTGTGCAACATTTGGGAACCTTACTGAGGAAACGTTTCGCCAGCCAGTGACTTCTTCAGTCCAATACAGAGAAGAATGATTGAAGAGGAGGAGTTTGTGGTAATCAATCCCTCATTCTGGGTTCAGTCTGAGCACATCCACTCCAGGCTGAGGGACTGATTACCTCAAACTTCTCTGTATTGCACTGAAGAAGCCACTGTGTGACAAAACACTTTCTCAGTAAAGATTCCCAAATGTTGCAAAAGTTGGTCATTTATTGCCCTGAGAGTTGCAGTGATTGAAGCAGTGACCAGTTGCCACTCGTCTTGGTCAGGTATATTACAGGAGCTGAGACGACTCTCCAAGAACCGTCTCTTCTTGACGATGTTGGGGAACCAGACAGTGTTCTGGGCGGTGCTGGCTGGCTACTACACCTTCAGTGGCAAGTACAAGGAGCATCAGTTCAAGATGGCCGCCGCTGACGCCAGCGAGTACAGTGGTGAGTTACCTTGAGTTAAGACAGTAAGATAAGGTAAAATAAGATAAGATTTATTCTGGAGATCTACAAATGATTTTGCGAATATTATTATTATTTTGTTCAACACTCCGAGGGAACATAGAGTAGATAGTGTGAACATAGAGCAATGGTCTATAAAATAGGTGTGACTTCCAGTGAGGTCCTGCTTAGTTTGCAAGTGTTGAGCTGCAGCTCTTGGGCCCATCTTAAATGATCTATTTTTCTTATACTTTCAAACCCAGGAAACGTTATAACATTCTAGTTCACTTGCAAACTTGTGTTTACAATTAATATGAACATTTCTGTTATGTTTCTTTATATATACCCACCGTGATCCCTGTGCCCTGGTCCTCATCCTTGCTTAATATCAACAGTATTTTTTCATTCATATTCCATGTCTTGTTTACTCTTCTTCCCTCAATTTTCTCTATACTTTCCACTTATCATGATTGAAATATATTAGCTAATTAGCTGGTGTTTGTTTGGGTCGTCTAGGACACTCTTCCAGTTCTCTGAAGTTATCTTCATTCTCATCGTTTTCATATCATCAGCAAACAAAGGAAATGTAGAGTTAAATACGTCTCCGTCAGGTGATTTAGTAGATGCATTAGAAACAGTGGCGGGTAAAATACTGATCCTTGGGGAACCCCGCTGGATACGTCAGCTCGTAGGAAGCAACGGGGGAAGGAAGTTAAGGGGCACGCAAGTTCTCCCGCCTTTTAATAACATGTTTATTTTTCCACTATAATCTACCTTGTCCATAATTACTAACGCATTTTCTTTGTTTCGTAAGGTGAAGTCTGGGATCTTTCCTTAATTCATGGTATAACTTAACAAATCTTTGATGACAATTGTGTTGTAGAGGTGTGAGCAATGCTCAAACCTCTACAGCATAACTGTCATTACTCACATCCTTCCCTCACAGCTATGGTCGGTCTGGTGGCGTCTACGGTGGGCTGGCTGGCCACGGGATCCATGTTGACCTTCCTCAAGCCCAGAATTAAGGTCATCATACTCTTCACCATGGGTGTCTCCCTAGCCATTGTGGCAGTCTCTCTAGCTGAGGCCAGTTTCCTCTCACGTCAAGTTCAGTGTAATTCTAAAACTTAGGTTCAGTACAGTTTTAGAACTTAAGTTCAATAGTTAGGAATGGTCATGGAAATGGTCTCAGTCAATTCCACAAAATTAAAACATCAATAAATTATAAAACCGTCACAGGATAATTGAAAGGAAGATTGCTTAAGTAAACAATAAACAAATGTGTTTATCTAGATGATTATTACATTGTATAAGAAAATAAATTGTATGCCTGTATCCCTGCTGTTACCCAGAGTTACGCAGGTTAAACAAACCTGAAAGTAATTAATAGAATTATTATGCTTCTCAGTGGAACATAATTACTTTTCACATGCGCAACATGTAGGAGTCTTTATCTTGAAGACGTTTCGCACACCAGTGGTTGTGTGTTGTGCAGAGATGCGTAGGGGAGACAGTGGAAGATGAGGTGGTCAGTACCTGAGTCTTGAAGGTGGTAGTCAGTCCCTGAGTCTTGAAGGTGGTAGTAAGTACCTGAGTCTTGAAGGTGGTAGTCTTTACCTGAGTCTTGAAGGAGGTGGTCAGTACCTGAGTCTTGAAGGTGGTGGTCAGTGCCTGAGTCTTGAAGGAGGTGGTCAGCACCTGAGTCTTGAAGGAGGCAGTCAGTCCCTGAGTCTTGAAGGAGGTGGTCAGCACCTGAGTCTTGAAGGAGGTGCTCAGCACCTGAGTCTTGAAGGAGGTGCTCAGCACCTGAGTCTTGAAGGAGGTGCTCAGCACCTGAGTCTTGAAGGTGGTGGTCAGCACCTGAGTCTTGAAGAAGGCAGTCAGTACCAGAGTCTTGAAGGTGGTAGTCAGTACCTGAGACTTGAAGAAGGTAGTCAGTATCTGAGTCTTGAAGGTGGTAGTCAGTACCTGAGTCTTGAAGGTGATAGTCAGTACCTGAGTCCTGAAGAAGGTGCCCAGCACCTGAGTCTTGAAGGAGGTGCTCAGCACCTGAGTCTTGAAGGAGGTGCTCAGCACCTGATCTTGAAGGAGGTGCTCAGCACCTGAGTCTTGAAGGAGGTAGTCAGTACCTGAGTCTTGAAGGAGGTAGTCAGTACCTGAGTCTTGAAGGAGGTGCTCAGCACCTGAGTCTTGATGAATAAAGGTAACAGGTGTTGTATACATCTCTAAATCAACTTAGGTGTTGTTTATCAGTAATATAATGATACATTAATAACACATGTGTTGGTGTTTCTCCTCATGATTATGTGTTCTCACAGATGACGGTGATGTGTGAGAGAGATGACATCCTGGGTCTCTCACAGATGCTCCACACTGATGTCACGTCCCAACACACCATACATAATGACATCACAAGAGATTTTGATGTAAATATTGACAATGTTACCAGGTAACCAGTCTCATGCAGTGTACTCACATAATTGTGGTTGCAGGGATCGAGTCATAGCTCCTGGCCCCGTGTAGGTGTGTGCGTGTGTGATACTGAAAGATAAAGTATATGATTTTTTTCATTTCTATCCAAATTAATATTCAAAAACATTTTTTCAATGAATGTGCGGGGTTCGAACCCGAGATTGGATCTCGGGTCCAGCAAGACGCATGATTAACAACCTTAATACATTTACAGGTGTAAAACAGGTACCAACTGTACTCCTGATATTGTGTTTAACTCTCCCACAGACACCCAGGAGTACTAGGGTGTATGAGTGCGTGTGGGTGTAGCGAGATATACTCCCCCGTGTGTGTCGACACTCGGTATACCTTCTACAGTGCTTGTCATGCTGGCTGTACTTACAGGAACATAGTTAACGGCTCCCAGGTACTCCCATATTATGCTTACATCAACCCAGTAACACAAGTTGTTTCTTATTACAACTTTCCATTGAGAGAGTAAGGTATGTTACTCATTGTGGTTGTATTTAATAAGTACTTGAGAGAAAAAAAAACGAAATTTTAGCATAAACGAATCTATGGAATTACCTTCTACGATGGGCATCCCTGTGTAGGTTCCTTCTACGTAGGTTCCACCCTACGTAGATTCATTCTACGTAGGTTCCCATGTAAGTAGGTTGCTTTTACAAGGGTCTCTCGTACGTTTGCTCCTACATACTGTAGGTTCCACTACCTAGCCTTTGGCAGGTACGAATGTCTGTGTTAATGCATTTATGTATAAGTCACCCGTGTATGCATACACTGATTTATACAACTGTTTACAAATAATGTTGTATTTGTCTTGATTTCAGGTGTATGGCAAGTGCTGGTGTGCTGACTTCATGCGGTCCTCAGAGCCAGAAGTCAGTTGCTGACGTCTTATGCAATAAGATCACAGCAAATAGGTGATATCACAATGTGCAAAGCAACCACTGTGAAAAAAATAGTGAACTTCCAAGCGCTTTCGTGACTTCTCACATTATCAAGGAACTGTAAAAAACAAAAGAACAGCAAAAGGTTTACATGAGGTCAAGATAACACGTCAAGGTCAACATCCGACACTTGACCCGTCCCTTCAGGGACCTAACACGTCCCTGAAGGGACGGGTGAGGTGTCGGATGTTGAGGTTAACCTCGAGATGTAATCTCGCCCTTATATATCTTCTGAAGTTCTGTTATTTTTACAGTTCCTTGATAATGTGAGAAATCACGAAAGCACTTGGAAGGTCACTATTTTTTCACAGTGGTTGTTCTGCATATTAGTGTATATATCAATCTGTATCAATGTGTATATCAACGTATATATCAATGTGTATATTAATGAGTATATTAATGGAAGGCACAATGTGGTTTATGGTATTTTATTGAGAAGACGTTTCGCCCACCAGAGAGTATATCAAAGTATACACTAATAGTTTAAAAAAACCGTAAGTAGGTGTATAAAACACGTATGCAACGCTCGTGTATCTTTACCGTGGACACTTTTCGCCCTTTATCAGCACGCGAAGTCCCTGGAAGGCGAAACGTCTTCTCGTAAAAATGGCACAAACCTCAAAGCATCTCATCCGAATATTTTTCGGTAATAAGCCAATTCCTCCTTCACTTTTCCTGAAGGTAAGTGAGAGAGGTGCAAGACGAGAGGCGCGGAGTGGCGTATGCAGTCGAGGGTGCGACACTTTATGGGTGTATCTCGCACTCTCTACGTTCAACGGTGTCCTCGTAGCTTCCAACAGAGTCGTGGCTAACGTTATCCTCTTCAGGTGACGCTGTTACTTCTTATTTCTGTTTATCACTGACAGTTTATCGTGTCTGAGTGTTTGACTGTCTGAGTGTCTGAGTGGATTCCCGTCTTCTGTTGAGGTTCTCAAAATACACTGTTAGATAACACTACAATTACGCAATCAGAGCAGCACGATTGTTTACAGTCATTAACACTAAAGTTATAATCAATAACTTTGTAGTTATACAATCATAATACCAGGACCTGGTCAGGTGTGTGAGATACCAGGACCTGGCCAGGTGTGTGAGATACCAGGACCTGGCCAGGTGTGTGAGATACCAGGACCTGGTCAGGTGTGTGAGATACCAGGACCTAGCCAGGTGTGTGAGATACCAGGACCTGGTCAGGTGTGTGAGATACCAGGACCTGGTCAGGTGTGTGAGATACCAGGACCTAGCCAGGTGTGTGAGATACCAGGACCTGGTCAGGTGTGTGAGATACCAGGACCTGGTCAGGTGTGTGAGATACCAGGACCTGGCCAGGTGTGTGAGATACCAGGACCTGGTCAGGTGTGTGAGATACCAGGACCTGGTCAGGTGTGTGAGATACCAGGACCTGACCAGGTGTGTGAGATACCAAGACCTGGCCAGGTGTGTGAAAAGCCAGACCCTGGCCAGGTGTGTGAGATACCAGGACCTGGTCAGGTGTGTGAGATACCAGGACCTGGTCAGGTGTGTGAGATACCAGGACCTGGCCAGGTGTGTGAGATACCAGGTCCTGGCCAGGTGTGTGAGATACCAGGACCTGGCCAGGTGTGTGAGATACCAGGACCTGGTCAGGTGTGTGAGATACCAGGACCTGGCCAGGTGTGTGAGATACCAGGACCTGGCCAGGTGTGTGAGATACCAGGACCTAGCCAGGTGTGTGAGATACCAGGACCTGGTCAGGTGTGTGAGATACCAGGACCTGGTCAGGTGTGTGAGATACCAGGACCTGGTCAGGTGTGTGAGATACCAGGACCTGGTCAGGTGTGTGAGATACCAGGACCTGGTCAGGTGTGTGAGATACCAGGACCTGGTCAGGTGTGTGAGATACCAGGACCTGGCCAGGTGTGTGAGATACCAGGAGCTGGCCAGGTGTGTGAGATACCAGGACCTGGTCAGGTGTGTGAGATACCAGGACCTGGCCAGGTGTGTGAGATACCAGGTCCTGGCCAGGTGTGTGAGATACCAGGACCTGGCCAGGTGTGTGAGATACCAGGACCTGGTCAGGTGTGTGAGATACCAGGACCTGGCCAGGTGTGTGAGATACCAGGACCTGGCCAGGTGTGTGAGATACCAGGACCTAGCCAGGTGTGTGAGATACCAGGACCTGGTCAGGTGTGTGAGATACCAGGACCTGGTCAGGTGTGTGAGATACCAGGACCTGGTCAGGTGTGTGAGATACCAGGACCTGGCCAGGTGTGTGAGATACCAGGACCTGGTCAGGTGTGTGAGATACCAGGACCTGGCCAGGTGTGTGAGATACCAGGACCTGGTCAAGTGTGTGAGATACCAGGACCTGGTCAGGTGTGTGAGATACCAGGACCTGGCCAGGTGTGTGAGATACCAGGACCTAGCCAGGTGTGTGAGATACCAGGACCTGGTCAGGTGTGTGAGATACCAGGACCTGGTCAAGTGTGTGAGATACCAGGACCTGGTCAGGTGTGTGAGATACCAGGACCTGGTCAAGTGTGTGAGATACCAGGACCTGGTCAGGTGTGTGAGATACCAGGACCTGGTCAGGTGTGTGAGATACCAGGACCTGGCCAGGTGTGTGAGATACCAGGAGCTTGCCAGTTGTGTGAGATACCAGGACCTAGCCAGGTGTGTGAGATACCAGGACCTGGCCAGGTGTGTGAGATACCAGGACCTAGCCAGGTGTGTGAGATACCAGGACCTGGTCAAGTGTGTGAGATACCAGGACCTGGCCAGGTGTGTGAGATACCAGGACCTGGCCAGGTGTGTGAGATACCAGGACCTGGCCAGGTGTGTGAGATACCAGGACCTGGTCAGGTGTGTGAGATACCAGGACCTGGTCAGGTGTGTGAGATACCAGGACCTGGTCAGGTGTGTGAGATACCAGGACCTGGTCAGGTGTGTGAGATAGCAGGTCCTGGCCAGGTGTGTGAGATACCAGGAGCTGGCCAGGTGTATGAGATACCAGGACCTGACCAGGTGTGTGAGATACCAAGACCTGGCCAGGTGTGTGAAAAGCCAGACCCTGGCCAGGTGTGTGAGATACCAGAACCTGGCCAGGTGTGTGAAAAGCCAGACCCTGGCCAGGTGTGTGAGATACCAGAACCTGGCCAGGTGTGTGAGATACGAGGACCTGGACAGGTATGTCAGATGCCAGGATTTGGCCAGTGTTTTTACACATTCTCACCACCATTCTCTCTGTCTCTGGTCAGATGTGTGAGTGAGAGAGAGAAGGACCTGGCACTGGGAGTGCTGAACGTGGCTCTCTCTCTCAGTTTTGTGGTGCCTCCTGTGTTGGTGGGAGTTGTGGTGGGTGAGTACTCTCTCTCTCTCTGCATGTTCTGTTGTGTGTGTGTGTGTGTGTGTGTGTGTGTGTGTGTGTGTGTGTGTGTGTGTGTTTGTGTGTGTGTGTGTGTGTGTGTGTGTTTGTGTGTGTGTGTTTGTGTGTGTGTGTGTATGTGTGTGTGTGTTTGTGTGCACTCACCTCACCTAGTTGAGGTTGCAGAGGTCGAGTCCAAGCTCCTGGCCCCGCCTCTTCACTGGTCGCTACTAGGTCACTCTCCCTGAACCATGAGCTTTATCATACCTCTGCTAAAAACTATGTATGGATCCTTCCTCCACTACATCGCTTCCCAAACTATTCCACTTCCTGACTACCCTGCGGCTGAAGAAATACTGCCTAACATCCCTGATTCATCTGTGTCTTCAACTTCCAACTGTGTCTCCTTGTTGCTGTGTCCCATCTCTGGAACATCTTGTGTGTGCGTGTGTGTGTGTGTGTGTGTGTGTTTGTATGTGTGTGTGTGTGTGTTTGTGTGTATGTTTGTGTGTATTCACCTAATTGTGGTTGCAGGGGTCGATTCTAGCTCTTGGCCCGGCCTCTTCACTGTGTGTGTGTGTGTGTGTGTGTGTGTTTGTAAAACACTACATTAACAGCAGGACACTGGAACATAGTCCGGCTTCTATAATAACATATAACACACACACACACACACACACACACACACACACACACACACACACACACACACACACACACACACACACACACACACACACACACACACATCTTATATATCTTTCCTCTCAACAGATCAAATCTGTATACTGTGGCAGAGAAGCTGTGGTGAGAGAGGCTTCTGTCACCTCTATGACATGGATGCCTTCAGATACCTGATGTCTGGGACTGTAGCAGGTGAGTGAGGGAGAGAATGAGGGAGTGAGGGAGAGAGTGAGGGAGTAAGGGAAAGAGTGAGTTAGGAAGTGAGGGAGAGAGTGACGAAAATGGTGTGAGGGGAGGGTAAGAGAGGCAGGGACTGTGTATTAGATATATTTATGGGTGATCTAGCGCCCTGAAAATGCTAGGTAATCGTCCTTGATAATAATAATAATAATAATAATAATAATAATAATAATAATAATAATAATAATAATAATAATAATAATAATATTAATAATAATAATAATAATAATAATAATAATAATAATAATAATAATAATAATAATAATAATAATAATAATAATAATAATAATAATAACCAGAAGGCTCAGGTATGTACACAGGCTTATATACATATACAAGCACACATACCAGCAGACATACCAGCAGACATACCAGCACACATACCAGCAGACATACCAGCAGACATACCAGCAGACATACAAGCAGACATACCAGCAGACATACAAGCACACATACCAGCAGACATACCAGCAGACATACCAGCAGACATACCAGCAGACATACCAGCAGACATACCAGCAGACATACCAGCAGACATACCAGCAGACATACCAGCACACATACCAGCACACATACCAGCACACATACCAGCACACATACCAGCACACATACCAGCAGACATACCAGCAGACATACCAGCAGACATACCAGCACACATACCAGCACACATACCAGCACACATACCAGCAGACATACCAGCACACATACCAGCACAACTGAGGAGGAGGTGAAGAAGCTCTTAAGTGACCTTGACACCTCAAAGGCGATGGGACCGGACAACATCTCCCCATGGGTCCTTAGAGAAGGAGCAGAGATGCTGTGCGTGCCTCTAACCACAATCTTCAACACATCCCTTGAAACTGGGCAACTACCTGAGAAATGGAAGACAGCTAATGTAGTCCCCATATTTAAGAAAGGAAACAGAAACGAGGCACTAAACTACAGACCTGTGTCTCTGACATGTATTGTGTGCAAAGTCATGGAGAAGATTATCAGGAGGAGAGTGGTCGAACACCTGGAAAGGAACAAGATTATAAATGAAAACCAGCATGGGTTCATGGAAGGCAAATCTTGTATCACAAACCTCCTGGAGTTTTATGACAAGGTAACAGAAGTAAGACACGAGAGAGAGGGGTGGGTTGATTGCGTTTTCCTAGACTGCAGGAAGGCCTTTGACACAGTTCCCCACAAGAGATTAGTGCAGAAGCTGGAGGATCAGGCGCACGTAAAAGGGAGGGCACTGCAATGGATAAGGGAATACCTGACAGGGAGGCAGCAACGAGTCATGGTACGTGAAGAGGTATCACAGTGGGCGCCTGTTACGAGCGGGGTCCCACAGGGGTCAGTTCTAGGACCAGTGCTATTTTTTATATATGTGAACGACATGATGGAAGGAATAGACTCTGAAGTGTCCCTGTTCGCAGATGACGTGAAGTTGATGAGAACAATTAAATCGGACGAGGATGAGGCAGGACTGCAAAGAGACCTGGACAGGCTGGACATGTGGTCCAGCAACTGGCTTCTCGAATTCAATCCAGCCAAATGCAAAGTCATGAAGATTGGGGAGGGGCAAAGAAGACCGCAGACAGAGTATAGGCTAGGTGGACAAAGACTACAGACCTCACTCAGGGAGAAAGACCTTGGGGTGACCATAACACCGAGCACATCACCGGAGGCACACATCAACCAAATAACCGCTGCAGCATATGGGCGCCTGGCAAACCTGAGAATAGCGTTCCGATACCTTAATAAGGAATCGTTCAAGACACTGTACACTGTGTATGTTAGGCCCATACTGGAGTATGCAGCACCAGTCTGGAACCCACACGTGGTCAAGCACGTCAAGAAGTTAGAGAAAGTACAAAGGTTTGCAACAAGGCTAGTCCCAGAGCTCAAGGGAATGTCGTACGAGGAAAGGTTAAGGGAAATCGGACTGACGACACTGGAGGACAGAAGGGTCAGGGGAGACATGATAACGACATACAAGATACTGCGGAGAATAGACACGGTGGACAGAGATAGGATGTTCCAGAGAGGGGACACAGGGACAAGGGGTCACAACTGGAAGCTGAAGACTCAGACGAGTCACAGGGACGTTAGGAAGTATTTCTTCAGTCATAGAGTTGTCAGGAAGTGGAATAGCCTAGCAAGTGAAGTAGTGGAGGCAGGAACCATACATAGTTTTAAGAAGAGGTATGACAAAGCTCAGGAAGCAGAGAGAGAGAGGATCCAGTAGCGATCAGTGAAGAGGCGGGGCCAGGAGCTGAGTCTCGACCCCTGCAACCACAATTAGGTGAGTACAATTAGGTGAGTACATACCAGCACACATACCAGCACACATACCAGCACACATACCAGCACACATACCAGCAGACATACCAGCACACATACCAGCACACATACCAGCAGACATACCAGCAGACATACCAGCAGACATACCAGCAGACATACCAGCAGACATACCAGCAGACATACCAGCAGACATACCAGCAGACATATCAGCAGACATACCAGCAGACATACAAGCAATCATACAAACTGATATAACAGTGTTGACACTGTCGTCTCTCTGACACAGCTGGAGTCCTGTGCGGGTTCTTCTTCGAGTGTCTCATCTTAAAGTGGCACCAGAACCTCGACTTCTACGGTCACAAGGAGATGATGGATCTGGGTCTTTTTGTCTTGAAGACGAAGAAGAAGGACGAAGAAGATACGAGGAACGGAAGGAAGGAAGATGAAGAAAACTTTGGTGGATAGAAATTATATGTTCGTGAGATCTGGCCTCGGGTATTGTGATAGTAGAGAGAATGACAGTACCCAGAAGGTGGGTGACAGGACGTAGAGAACACGTGTTTATTATGTGTTTATTAGGCAGGTTTAGATACTGGTGAGTTGACTGTGTTGTGGCCATCTAGATGAGTTGACCATCTAGGACCGCGGTGTGGGTTTAGTGATTAAAATAATGATAATAATAATAATAATAATACAATAATAATAATAATAATAATAATAATAATAAATAAAGCACTAGTGCAATATTTGGGCATCTTTATTCTGGAAACGTTTGGCTACACAGTGGCTTCTTCAGTCCAATGCAGAAAAAGTTGGAAGATGAGGAGTAGTTTGGGGTAATCAGTCCCTCGGCCTGGAGTTGATGTGTTCAGTACCTCGGTCTTGACATAAGTGGAGCTGAGAAAGGGCTTGTAAGCCCCATCCTGAGGCATGGTAAGTCATAAGTAATAGTAACTCCAGTTCTTCTGGAAGGAAACTTCTGAAGCTTCTGTAACTGGAACCCTTGCTGGAGCCCTTGCTGGAACCCTTGCTGGAACCCTTGCTGGAACCCTTGCTGGAACCCTTGATAGAACCCTTGCTGGAACCCTTTCTGGAACCCTTGCTGGAACCCTTGCTGGAACCCTTTCTGGAACCCTTTCTGGAACCCTTGCTGGAACCCTTGCTGAAACCCTTTCTGGAACCCTTTCTGGAACCCTTGCTGGAACCCTTGCTGGAACCCTTTCTGGAACCCTTGCTGGAACCCTTGCTGAAACCCTTGCTGGAACCCTTTCTGGAACCCTTGCTGGAACCCTTGCTGAAACCCTTGCTGGAACCCTTTCTGGAACCCTTGCTGAAACCCTTGCTGGAACCCTTTCTGGAACCCTTGCTGAAACCCTTGCTGGAACCCTTTCTGGAACCCTTTCTGGAACCCTTTCTGGAACCCTTGCTGAAACCCTTGCTGGAACCCTTGCTGGAACCCTTGCTGGAATACTTGAGGATATCCTCACTGTTCTACTCAAGTCTTCCAGCTCAGGCTGACACATTCAACACCCTGTGTAAACATCATTCTTCGTGATGCAATTTGACAGGGAAAACATAGCTAGCTTTTGTTCCCACTGTGTCATTATTATATAGAATAGTGTATTCAGTTTTATTAAATAAAGTGAATAAAAAATCCATGAATATACCTACCTCTTAATGTATATAACGTTCACCTTTATATATACATTTTATTGAGGTATCTTTGTATTAACATATTTTTATTTACGAATGACATCAATTAGAAATATTTCTGGAGTTACAATACTGTAGCAGCTTCTGTGTGATAATTTATAGCGATAACTTGAGTCAGAATTACAGAAAGTGTTTATTGACACGCACCTTTAATATGCCCAGCAGATATTCTCTCTCTCTCATACACCACCTGATGGTTTAATTGGGTTTAAAGTCTGTCTACTACTCACAGCGTCACTAAGTCAGCGTGCCACCTGTCGAGACTCCACTCCAGCAAAAATAACTTGAGTGATCAAGGCAGCGGGATCAAAATGTTCTGTAATAAATATATCCTAGAGTTTGCTTACGTGTGTTTCTAAACCAATTTGACGAGTGTATTATTCTGTAAAATATGGAATAATCTCTTACCACATAGTGTAAGATACAAGCTTGTATTAATAATAATTATAATCTTTATTTCTACAAGTACATGTACAAGATATACAGACCATAGCTGACATCAATGACATACTGATATCAATGGCAAATTTGGTCAATTTTGTCCCCAGGATGCGACCCACACCAGTCTACTAACACCCAGGTACCTATTTTACTGATAGGTGAATAATAGACAGCAGGTGCCTTAAAGAAATACGTCCTAATGTTTCCAACCGTACCGGGGATCAACCCCCGGACCTCAGTGTGTGAGCCGAGTGCGCTAGCAATCGAGCTACGGGACACCTGACCCACCACTGACAAACTTGTTAATCTAAGCAAGATTAAGACATGTATTCACATGAGGGTTCTGCCCTTTAACTCATATACTAAATATAGTTATGCAAATTATGTGATAATTAACTTAGGCTTTATTATATTACATAAATAAGTACATCACAGCAGTATTGACAATGTTTGGAAAGCTGTGGAATAAAGCATTTGTAACATATAAATATTGGTGTGTATCAAAACACCGTCGACGACATTCCTGGAGACTATCATGTGGGTGGATGTACAGAAGTTCCTTATTGTGTATCATGTTGACAGCGTGGGCGTAGACTTGGTGGGCGTGGTGGTGGTGGGTGTGAAGGTAGGTATGGTGGTGGCTGTTGTGGTGACTGGTGGTGGTGGTTGTGGGTTGGTGGCTTCCTAGGTTAGAAGCCGTTAAGGATGTCATCTTCGTCTTTCTACTCATCCTGTTCGTCTTCCACGTCTTGGGGTGTTAGTCTGCTCCCCCAGCGTTGAGTGTTAGTCTGCTCCCCCAGCGTTGGAGTGTTAGTCTGCTCCCCCAGCGTTGGAGTGTTAGTCTGCTCCCCCAGCGTTGGGGTGAGGCAGCTGGCAGCAGTAACCATCAGTGATGGACCCGTCAGGCACCAGACACGACTGTGGAAAACACAACCTTCATGAAATGTGTTGATGACAAGAATAAACACAAAGACACACGTCTCAACACAAGTCCTTAATACTGACAACGTACATAAAGCTTCTTCAACCTCCACATAACCAAACCTAAGCGCTAAATCACTATGGTCACACAGTGCTGCATCAACCTCCACAGAACGAGACGTTCTTCTGATGACAGCTTCTGCACTACAGTTCATTCTTAGTTCATAGTGATCATAATGACAAATTTTTTTTATTAATGTGTGATGCTTTACGAGGCACTGTAAAGAAAAAAAAATCAGGATAAATTCATTTAAAATATTGTCTACCCATGCAAGCCTACCCAGGCAGGCCTACCCAGGCAGGCCTACCCAGGCAGGCCTACAAAAGAAAGCAAGACAGTATACAGAATCACGTAGAGCGTTGTAGTATGTCTAACCCATTGAAAATATCTATATTACTCGTGTCCATCATGGTATCTGGCCCTCAAAAAAAAAATTTGAGAAGAAAATAGCAAATTATCCAAAATATGATAAGATAAGATAAGATTTCGTTCGGATTTTTAACCCCGGAGGGTTAGCCACCCAGGATAACCCAAGAAAGTCAGTGCGTCATCGAGGACTGTCTAACTTATTTCCATTGTGGTCCTCAATCTTGTCCCCCAGGATGCGACCCACACCAGTCGACTAACACCCAGGTACCTATTTGCTGCTAGGTGAACAGGACAACAGGTGTAAGGAAACGTGTCGAAATGTTTCCACCCGCCGGGAATCGAACCCGGGCCCTCCGCGTGTGAAGCGGGAGCTTTAGCCACCAGGCCACCGAGCCTGATGTAGATTAGGTTGATGTGAAAAAATTGGCAGACAATGAAATAGATAAAATGAAAGTGAATGAACTATGTCTAGCCTATGTTGACTCAAGAATTAAAACATTTATTTTATTTTTTGTTTATGGGGAAACACTAAGCCTGTAATAGGTAGTAATTAGTTCTGGTCCTAGAAAGAGTAGTTTTAGTTCCCGGGCTTCCAGGGGCTTCCAGGGGCTTCCAGGGGCTTCCAGGGGCTTCCAGGGACTTTCATTAACCACTGTGATGGGTCTCTGTTCTATAACTACACTGTGGAAAAAACGACAAATGACATATAACACGATTCTTTACTGATAACGTTTCGCCCACACAGTGGACTTTATCAAGTCAAAAATAGATAACGTCTACTGTGTGGGAGAAATGTTGTTAACAAAGACTCATTTTACTGAGTTTGTCTCTCTTATTCCCTGGTTTCGGTGCTGTCTACCATTCCTCACCACACTACTGTCGAGCTGTCTCCTTCAGAGAGGTTCCTTGATACTGTTGAGGGGCTCTTGATCTAAAGAATGGTCTCTGCCCCACAATTCCTTGAATCGAATCTGAAAGCCCGTTCAACCAAGGTGCTGTATAACCTCTAAGAGTTTAGCGCTCCACACATGAACATACTAATGCTGAAGTGAATTAAAAATGACTAATCTTAATTTCAAAGCATAAATACTGAGAACTGTGGAAATGTTGAGGTCAGAGGAACTTACCAGCAGAGGCACAGTTGGCGAGTCTGGCCACACTGCCATCACCGGGCTGTTGGGTGTCAAGATGAACCCGGTGTAAGGGTTACACTGCGACTGCTGCACGCAGTACGTCCCTGCGCTGCATGATCCTGACCGCATCATCATCATCATGCCCATCATCCCAGGCATCATAGGCTGAGCTGAACCTGCTCCGACGGGAGTGCTGAGAGAGCCTTGTGGTTGTGGGCTTAATCCACTGGGCTGCGAGGAAGACCCAGCTGCCTGGAAAATTGTCTGGGAGGGTGCAAGAGGACTGCCCTGGGTGATGCCACCAGAGTGTGGACTGTGCCCAGAGGGTTGACCCCCAGTGAAAGGGGTATGTGGCGCCCCAGGAGAGGTCTGGGAAAAGGGAATACCCTGGGAAGGTACAACAGGACTGCCTTTGTTGATGCCACCAGGCTGTGGACTGTGCCCAGAGGGTTGACCCCCAGTGAAAGGGGTATGTGGTGCCCCAGGCGAGGACTCGGAAAAGGGAATACCCTGGGAAGGTACAACAGGTGCGAGTCCCACTGGTTGACCCCCAGTGAAAGTGGTATGTAGTGCCCCAGGCGAGGCCTGGGGAAATGAAATACCCTGGGAAGGTACAACAGGTGCGAGTCCCACTGGTTGACCCCCAGTGAGAGGGGTATGTGGTGCCCCAGGCGAGGGCTGGGAGAATGGAACATCTTGGGATGGTACTGCAGGACTGCCCCCAAGGTTAATTTTGGTGGGATGTGGGACGACCACTGAGGGTTGGCCTCCAGGCAAAGGTGTGTGGGAGGCTCCGGGTGAAGACCCGGCGAAGGAAGAATCTTCGGAGGGTAACTCATAGAGCCCAGACGGAGGGGGAGGAACCGAGTGACTGGGCTGTGAAGAGGCTTCACTTCCTGGATGTGAGGAGGATTTAGTTTCTAAATGTGAGAATGGTTTAGTTCCTTGCTGTGAGAATGATTGAGTTTCTTGATGCGAGGATGATTTAGTTTCTAAATGTGAGGATGGTTTGGTTCCTTGCTGTGAGAATGACTGAGTGCCATGTTGTGTGGACGGCTGGGGTTTTTGATGTGGGGCTGGTTTAAAGGCTGAGAACGACTCTAGCGGATTGTCTGAGGGTAGTTTCGGTTTTTGCTGTGATTGTGATTGCTGTGGGGCTGGTTTAAAGACTGAGAACGACTCTAGCGGATTGTCTGAGGGCAGTTTCTGTTTTTGTTTTGACTGTGTTCTAATGTCTACAGTGGACTGATGGATGCTGGTAGAGGCACTCGCTGGAGAGGAAGGAAATGAGGAATGTGGCAGGATGGGGTGAATAACCCCGCCTGGGGAGCCCACTGAAGGCACAGCGGATCCCAAGCTAGATCCCGATGTTACCAAGATGGAACCCGACGATCCGACAGTGGACCCTGATGATCCATGGGCAGGCACCGGAGAGCCGACGATGGTGCCTGGAAAGGCTCCGGAGGGAACACGGCAGCAGATCTTACCTTCATTACAGCCGATGTGTGCAGACGCCACCTGCAGACCGGAGAATAGGTTACCAAACATAGGAATACAAAGAACATGAACTAAATGTATTCACAGTTCTCATCAGTTCTGTTGCATGATTGATGTCGTTTACTCAAACATTTGTATATTAATATTTGCATTTACATTTGCTTAAAGTAATTAGCCTTGTCTTCACATTGCATCCTCACTGCATATCCTCTTCATTTCTTCGACTTTTATCTGCCAATGTTTCACATATCTCACGCATATTTGACACCTCTACAACCATTATTTTATTATTCTACATCAACCCATAATACTGACCCATACTCTCCTCTCGAGGTGCAGTGGGGTCAGGAGACACTGTGGGAAACAGTTTCTCCTGGCTCCAGTGTACCTCACCCTGGTGTCAGCAGTGGCACTCACTTTGCCTGGCCTAATCTTCCTTGCCCTTACCCATAGCTACCTCGTTGCAGGTGTTCCTCGTCCTTCACACCTGCAACTACCACCTCCCTAGTCCCTCACACCTGCTACTACCACCTCCCTAGTCCCTCACACCTGCTACTACCACCTCCCTAGTCCCTCACACCTGCTACCACCACCTCCCTAGTCTCTCACACCTGTTACTACCACCTCCCTAGTATCTCACACCTGCTACTACCACCTCCCTAGTATCTCACACCTGCTACTACCAGTTCCCTAATCTCTCACACCTGCTACTGCCACCTACCTAGTATCTCACATGTACTACCAACTCCCTAGTCTCTTACACCTGCTACTACCACCTCCCTAGTCTCTCACACCTGCTACTACCACCTATCTAGTCTCTCACATCTGCTACTACCACCTCCCTAGTCCCTCACACCTGCTACTGCCAGTTCCCTAGTCTCTCACACCTGCTACTACCACCTACCTAGTGTCTTACACCTGCAACCACCACCTCCCTAGTCTCTCACCTGCTACTACCACCTCCCTAGTCCCTCACACCTGCTATTATCACCTCTCTAGTCCCTCACTCCTGCTGCTATCATCACTCATATTCACATCTGCTGCTACCATTACTCACACCTGTAACTACCATTACTCACACCTGTAACTACCATCACTCACATGGGGTGGGATCTCAGCGATCAACTTGTTAGTACCATCTGTGCCATCGTTGATAACGTAACCATTGGAACACAGTTGCCAGTGGACACAGACATGTCCCTCGCTACAACTACCCCTGAATGGTGGGTTCACCAGGTTTTGTAGGATGGAGGGTGTTAGAGACCCGGCAGGCTGCCCGCTCTGTGGTGACACTGAATGCACAGGCAGCTGGAATGGTTTTAGTTGTGAGATGGAGGCTTGACCCTGTGTTTGAGGGAGTCCTGGAGGAAGCCTGAAGGGGTTCTCACTCCCCTGCCACCAGTATGGTCCAGAGTCAGTAGCAGGGGGTCGTGCACACTGGACACCAGAGCACCCACCGCTGACGCCGCTGCCACCACTGACGCCGCTGCCACCACTGACGCCGCTGCCACCACTGACGCCGCTGCCACCACTGACGCCGCTGCCACCACTGACACCGCTGCTTCCAGGACCGCTCAACTCACTGCCGCAGCCTAGACCGCTGCAAGCAGATGTTTGCGCTGAAGGTAACTGCCCTCCGCAGCCGCCGCTACCACACCCGCTGCTAGGACTGCTGGAGTCAGAGTCGGTTTTGGGAGGACCGTAGCCAGCGACCAGCGTAACCACCGCCGCTACATACACCAGAGCGCGCATCTCTGACGGAAGACAACAACGTATGAGCATAAGAAAGGATAAACCTAACAGCACGTCATGCATGCAGTGTCAGGAGGGGAATGGAGGGAAATCAGTTTTGGGATGGAGGGTAGCTCCCATTCCTCGTATCATGAGCCTCCTCGCCAGCATCAAATACTTAAAAACAAAGTGTGCAGAAGAGATATCTCCCGGGCACTCTTTCTGCAACCTCATTGGTAAACGTTAAGCTGCCCACCCTGCCCTCCCTGCACTACCTGCCCTCCCTGCTCCACCTGGCCTCCCTGCCTCACCTGCTCCCTGCCCTCTCTGATCACCCTACCCCACCTGCCCATTTGGCACTCCCTGCTCCACCTGCCCTCCCTGCCTCACATGCCCCACCTGACCTCCCTGCCTCACCTGCTCCCTCCCCTTTCTGATCACCCTGGCATCCCTGCCCCACCTACCCACTAGCCCTCCCTTCTTCACCTGCCCTCCCAGCCCTCCAATGCCCTATATGATCACCCTGGCCTCCCTGCCACCCTGCCCACCCTCCCGTTATTTTCAAACCAAGGCTCAACCCACATTCTTCATCCTACCAGTTAGTTCATCTTTCTTTTCCTCCTTATTTTCCATTTTCTTCTCTTCCATATTGCCTTTCTCATCCATTTTTTCATCCACCTCTTGCATCTTATTCAAGGCTTCTTCCTCCTGCTTCTCCATCTTCCCCTTTCCTTCTCCTCCTCCTCTTTTTTCCTGTTTCTTCTCCCCTTTTCCTCCTCCTCCTTTTCCTCATCCTTCTCTTCCTTCTCCTCTTCCTCCTCCTTTACATAGAATCTTCACCCCAACATAACTCAGAACTGGTCTTCAGACTTCTTGTCAGCCGACGATAACTGAGAGTTTGTGTGTTGTTTTGTGTGTAGCCTCGTCAGAGCTTGTGCAAGATCTTGGAGGGTTGACAGTGCTGGACTACTGGCGCTGTACAGAGACTTTACGATCGTCAGTGTTTATAATAATGGTTGCACAAAATGTAGGCTTGTCAGTTTTTATGTTAATGGTTGTAGGCTTACTGCTGTTTGTGTTAATGGTTGAAGAAAGGTTGTAGGCCCCCAGTGTTTGTGTTAATGGTTGTAGGAAGGTTGTAGGTCCCTCAGTGTTTGTGTTAATGGTTGTAGGAAGGTTGTAGGTCCCTTAGTGTTTGTGTTAATGGTTGTAGGAAGGTTGTAGGTCCCTCAGTGTTTGTGTTAATGGTTGTAGAAAGGTTGTAGGTCCCTCAGTGTTTGTGTTAATGGTTGTAGGAAGGTTGTAGGTCCCTCAGTGTTTGTGTTAATGGTTGTAGGAAGGTTGTAGGTCCCTCAGTGTTTGTGTTAATGGTTGTAGAAAGGTTGTAGGTCCCTCAGTGTTTGTGTTAATGGTTGTAGGAAGGTTGTAGGTCCCTCAGTGTTTGTGTTAATGGTTGTAGGAAGGTTGTAGGTCCCTCAGTGTTTGTGTTAATGGTTGTAGGAAGGTTGTAGGTCCCTTAGTGTTTGTGTTAATGGTTGTAGGAAGGTTGTAGGTCCCTCAGTGTTTGTGTTAATGGTTGTAGGAAGGTTGTAGGTCCCTCAGTGTTTGTGTTAATGGTTGTAGAAAGGTTGTAGGTCCCTCAGTGTTTGTGTTAATGGTTGTAGGAAGGTTGTAGGTCCCTCAGTGTTTGTGTTAATGGTTATAGAAAGGTTGTAGATCCCTCAGTGTTTGTGTTAATGGTTGTAGGAAGGTTGTAGGTCCCTCAGTGTTTGTGTTAATGGTTGTAGAAAGGTTGTAGGTCCCTCAGTGTTTGTGTTAATGGTTGTAGAAAGGTTGTAGGCCCCTCAGTGTGTACTTTAATGTTAATTCTAGCAGGTAGTTCCTGTGACGGGTAACACACACAGGTCGACCACAGCCACACTCAACACGTCTCGTTCGGCAAGTCATTTACGTAATATAAAATTAGCAACGGCTCTGGCAGTGATCCTTGAGGTAACCCACTCGTTACCCTTTCCCACCTTGAAACGTCCATTCGTACCGTCACTCTAATCTGTTCCTTGCGTATTAATTCATCCATTGCCCCTCTATGGTGGAAGAGAATACGAAATGCTATTCAACTGTAGCTCATGAATATGGAGTCGACCCATCATTGTTGATTCGTTTCCCTAAATCCACGCATTGAAGTATCACATTAATAGATGTGTGTGTGTGTGTGTGTGTGTGTGTGTGTGTGTGTGTGTGTGTGTGTGTGTGTGTGTGTGTGTGTGTGTGTGTGTGTGTGTGTGGGCGTCCATAAATTTGCATTGTTGACAGAGTGAGATCACTGTTAATACTGCCACCACCCTCCACAATCCACCTGATGAAGCCTCATGCTTCACATCAACACCATGAAGCCTCATCCTTCACATCAACACCATGAAGCCTCATGCTTCACATCAACACCATGAAGCCTCATGCTTCACATCAACACCATGAAGCCTCATGCTTGTAACTTCCACGGGAAACCTGCTTCAAGTCTCATCCTTGAACCCTTCCAGTGGGAGCCAGGAGATAGCTTACAACCATGACAGTATGGTGGGTGTGTCAACCATGACAGTATGGTGGGTGTGTCAACCATGACAGTATGGTGGGTGTGTCAACCATGACAGTATGGTGAGGGTGTGTCAACCGTGACAGTATGGTGGGTGTGTCAATCATGGCAGTATGGTGGGTGTGTCAACCATGACAGTATGGAGGGTGTGTCAACCATGACAGTATGGTGGGTGTGTCAACCATGACAGTATGGTGGGTGTGTCAACCATGACAGTATGGTGGGTGTGTCAACCATGACAGTATGGTGGGTGTGTCAACCATGACAGTATGGTGGGTGTGTCAACCATGACAGTATGGTGGGTGTGTCAACCATGACAGTATGGTGGGTGTGTCAACCATGACAGTATGGTGGATGTGTCAACCATGACAGTATGGTGGGTGTGTCAACCATGACAGTATGGTGAGGGTGTGTCAACCATGACAGTATGGTGAGGGTGTGTCAACCATGACAGTATGGTGGATGTCTCAACCATGACAGTATGGTGGATGTGTCAACCATGACAGTATGGTGAGGGTGTGTCAACCATGACAGTATGGTGGATGTCTCAACCATGACAGTATGGTGGGTGTGTCAACCATGACAGTATGGTGGGTGTGTCAACCATGACAGTATGGTGGGTGGGTGTCAAACATGAAAGTAAGTTGGGTGTGTCAACCATGACAGTATGGTGGATGTCTCAACCATGACAGTATGGTGAGGGTGTGTCAACCATGACAGTATGATGGGTGTGTTAACCATGACAGTATGGTGAGGGTGTGTCAACCATGACAGTATGGTGAGGGTGTGTCAACCATGACAGTATGGTGAGGGTGTCAACCGTGACAGCATGGTGGGTGTGTCAATCATGGCAGTATGGTGGGTGTGTCAACCATGACAGTATGGAGGGTGTGTCAACCATGACAGTATGGTGGGTGTGTCAACCATGACAGTATGGTGGGTGGGTGTCAAACATGAAAGTAAGTTGGGTGTGTCAACCATGACAGTATGGTGGATGTCTCAACCATGACAGTATGGTGAGGGTGTGTCAACCATGACAGTATGATGGGTGTGTTAACCATGACAGTATGGTGAGGGTGTGTCAACCATGACAGTATGGTGAGGGTGTGTCAACCATGACAGTATGGTGAGGGTGTCAACCGTGACAGCATGGTGGGTGTGTCAATCATGGCAGTATGGTGGGTGTGTCAACCATGACAGTATGGAGGGTGTGTCAACCATGACAGTATGGTGGGTGTGTCAACCATGACAGCATGGTGGATGTGTCATCCATGACAGTATGGGGAGTGTGTGTCAACCATGAAAGTAAGTTGGGTGTGTCAACCATGACAGTATGATGGGTGTGTTAACCATGACAGTATGGTGAGGGTATGTCAACCATGACAGTATGGTGAGGGTGTGTCAACCGTGACAGTATGGTGGGTGTGTCAATCATGGCAGTATGGTGGGTGTGTCAACCATGACAGTATGGAGGGTGTGTCAACCATGACAGTATGGTGGGTGTGTCAACCATGACAGTATGGTGGATGTGTCAACCATGACAGTATGGGGAGTGTGTGTCAACCATGAAAGTAAGTTGGGTGTGTCAACCATGACAGTATGGTGGGTGTGTCAACCATGACAGTATGGTGGATGTGTCAACCATGACAGTATGGTGAGGGTGTGTCAACCATGACAGTATGGTGGATGTGTCAACCATGACAGTATGGTGAGGGTGTATCAACCATGACAGTATGGTGAGGGTGTGTCAACATGACAGTATAGTGAGGGTGTGTCAACCATGACAGTATGGTGAGGGTGTGTCAGCCATGACAGTATAGTGAGGGTGTGTCAACCATGACAGTATGGTGAGGGTGTGTCAACCATGACAGTATGGTGAGGGTGTGTCAACCATGACAGTATGGTGGGTGTGTCAACCATGACAGTATGGTGGATGTGTCTACCATGACAGTATGGTGAGGGTGTGTCAACCATGATAGTATGGTGGATGTGTCAACCATAACAGTATGGTGAGGGTATGTCAACCATGACAGTATGGTGGATGTGTCAACCATGACAGTATGGTGAGGGTGTGTCAACCATGGCAGTATGGTGGGTGTGTCAACCATGACAGTATGGTGAGGGTGTGTCAACCATTACAGTATAGTGAATGTGTCAATCATGACAGTATGGTGAGGGTGTGTCAACCATGACAGTATGATGGATGTGTCAACCATGACAGTATGGTGGGTGTGTCAACCATGACAGTATGGTGAGGGTGTGTCAACCATGACAGTATGGTGAGGGAGTGTTAACCATGACAGTATGGTGGGTGTGTCAACCATGACAGTACGGTGGGTGTGTCAACCATGACAGAATGGTGAGGGTGTATCAACCATGACAGAATGGTGAGGGTGTGTCAACCGTGAGAGTATGGTGGGTGTGTCAACCATGACAGTATGGTGGGTGTGTCAACCATGACAGTGTGGTGGGTGTGTCAACCATGACAGTATGGTGGATGTCTCAACCATGACAGTATGGTGAGGGTGTGTCAACCATGACAGTATGGTGGATGTGTCAACCATGACAGTATGGTGAGGGTGTATCAACCATGACAGTATGGTGAGGGTGTGTCTACATGACAGTATGGCGAGGGTGTGTCAACCATGACAGTATAGTGAGGGTGTGTCAACCATGACAGTACGGTGGATGTGTCGACCATGACAGTATGGTGGGTGTGTCAACCATGATCTTGACTCACACGTACATGACCTTCGTTACTGTAGTCGTTTGATCTCTCTCACTCACCCTACAATGTCCGGTCCAGGAGTCATGGATTGGTATCTACCACCTCGTTGAAGTCTCCTACAGGTGTCCCCCGGGGATGTTTTTCTTTCCAGGGGTGGAGCCTTCATCGAGGTGAAGGGTTCTACATCCCAGGAGTCGGAGCCACACTCCCATTTCTTATATAAACCTGGTTAGTGCTTCGTAACTCCATAACTACTTATTTTCCATTTTGCTTGTGTGATTCGAGATATTAAAAGCAAGCAATTGTTTATATTCTTTCATTAACCTGTTAGAAGGCATGTATGTTTTTATTTCTTGACACAACACAGATGACGTGACCTTAGGTACCATCAACACTTTCTTCATTATTTAAATGTCTGCAAGACGGATGGCCAGTAACATGCAACTGATGCCATCAAGTTGAAGAATAAGATGCACGTGAAACATTTGGGTATCTTTATCTCTCTATTGTCTCAAGATTTTCGTCTGTGTTCGACTGAGGAAGGCATATTGCGCGGGCGAAACGTTCACATAATCAAGACACCCAAGTGTTGCACACGTGTCTTAATAATAGCAATAATAATGTTCATGGGTGGCCAGATTTTATTGAAGGGGGGTAGGGGTTTTATTTTTCAAATATCTCCCTCTGCTATGGTTTACAATACATATAAATACATTCTCAAAAAGCCAATAGTCCGAATTCAGTTTTCCTTCTAGTGTTCAGTTTATGTGGACAGTCAATATAGAGAACACAATAAACACTACAAATCTTCAGTGTTACGTAGATGCTCCTCTTAGTTCCTAACTCTTTTAAATTCAGTGTCTGCAGCCATCCTAGGCATCTACTGTAGAGTGATCCTTTGTGTTTAATGGTGTGTAGAACTTTATCTGTGGTGGACCAGAGGATGTTTACACGTCTGAGACTGGTGTCAGCGAACACTGCACAGGTCATCATCTAGGACTGGTGTTAGTGGACACTGAACAGGTCATCATCTAAGACTGGTGTTAGGGGACACTGAACAGGTCATCATCTAAGACTGGTGTCAGGGGACACTGTACAGGTCATCATCTAGGACTGGTGTCAGGAGACACTGAACAGGTCATCATCTAGGACTGTTGTCAGGGGACACTGTACAGGTCATCATCTAAGACTGGTGTCAGGAGACACTGAACAGGTCATCATCTAAGACTGGTGTCAGGAGACACTGAACAGGTCATCATCTAAGACTGGTGTCAGGGGACACTGAACAGGTCATCATCTAAGACTGGTGTCAGGGGACACTGAACAGGTCATCATCTAGGACTGGTGTCAGGAGACACTGAACAGGACATCATCTAAGACTGGTGTCAGGGGACACTGAACAGGACATCATCTAAGACTAGTGTCAGGGAACACTGTACAGGTCATCATCTAAGACTGGTGTCAGGAGACACTGTGTTCTTTACTAACGAAAAAAAACATCCACAATAACTCTCACAAAAAAAAAAAACTGTGACTACATTAGTTAAGTAGAGGTTCCAGATTCAACACGAGTTGCAGCTTCATTAATTTTGTAACTTTTATAAGACTGAACGAAGAAATTGTGAAAATAATATTGTTAACTACAAACTCTCATCTTTATTTTCAAAGACATAAAGAAGATCAAACAGTCTACATACAAGAGTTGTGCGTCACCTTACTTTGTATTTTGCAATTAAAGTATCCTTCTCTGGGGGATGTACAAGTGATATGCGGCCTTAATGACTCTCGCGTAGTCGATAAGCTTTCAACCCAATAAATAAAACAGAAGCAAGGACGGACAGAAGAAAGTGTCGTAGTATATGACAGTACTCACTGTGGCCAGGTTGCTGCAACCTTCCAACACACGCACAAGTCAACTGCTCAGTGCATCCTCTTACCAGCCTTATATAACTTACTCCATCTAGCTGAACCACCGGTTGCCAGCTGTGTATTTCCCAGCCAGTTTTCTTATGCTGCCCATTACGTAAGTAGAATTATCTTTATGATTCATCTCGAGGCGTATTCCGGATGTCGTGTACCTTCATCTGCGTTGATCGTGGCATTTCCGTGGCGTTTGTAATAATATAAAAATAACGTCTTAGCTTTATATGGTGCTAGACGTTCATAAAATGTTCAGAGGGGGAGATAAGTTGACTTTAATGATCAATACTGAGCTCTGATTTAGTACTGAGGCATGGTTGGTGTGGACGGTTCTGAGAGGTACCCGGTCCTGGGAAGTGGTTGATTCATAGGGGTTATTACTGACTGGTGATTGGTCCTGATGAGTGGTCGGTCCCTGAGAGGTGGCCGGCCCTGAGAGGTGGTAGGTCTTGAAAGGTGGTCGGTCCTGGCGGGTGACCGGTCCTGAAGGAGGACATGTCCTGACGGGTGACCGGTCCTGCTAATGTACCGTGCCGGATCTGATGACGGTAGACTGATTTATACTGAAACCAAAGGAAGCTAGAGACTTGTAACATGAAGTAAATACATTTTCAAACTCTGCTGGAACTCTGGCTTCTATTCTATAAGAACATAAGAAAAAGAAACTCTGCGAGATGACACGGCATGTTATAGACAAATATAAAGACAAAGACACAGGTTGCAGAATAAACTTTTATTGTGACGAAGTTTAGGTCTGTGTAGAACTTTATCACGTCTTGCCTTAATCGTCCTAATAAAAGCTTCTTTACAATTTATATACATGTCTTCTAAAGCCGCTCAGTAGACCTACTGGATCACACTAAGCAGGACCAAGCCAGCCATCCCTGCCAACTTCAACGCTATGAAATCGAGTCATTCTAAAGCTAAGCAGTTAAAAGAAGTTGAGTCACTCTTGTGTCCTACCTTTCTCACTATCTTTGTGAGAACAAATACTGGTTAGTCTTGGCTATAAAGAAAGGAAAGCCTGAAGAGGCGGACGCTGGTTTTTCCCGGGGTATTACAGCGACGCTACGGTCATAGTTGTTGTTGTTGTTTGTGTGTGAGTCGTGGAAACACCTCACACACCTCGCTGTCAGAGGATGATCCGTTCCGCGGTGCGGCACGATGGATGGGCGAGGCAAGGAGTGTCTAGGACAGATGAAGGTGGAGTATGTTAGGGAAAAGGACACAGATGCAACTAATGTGGCATTTTATTGTGACATTTTATCCTGGAGCTTTGTCAAGCCACTACAGACAATACTAGGGCACATGGGGGTTTATATAGGTACCAAGTGAGATGAAAAATTAGGATTACTGAACGTAGAGCAGCCTATGGCACCAAGGTGGCCCACGGCAGCAGCAGCTGCCAAAAGCTTACTAGTGCTGGACCCAGTCCTCTGAGTGCCAAAGTCGAGGGAGAAGATAGTGTTCTATACAAAAATATAGTCTTCATTATTAGCTGCCTTCCTTTCATGTAATCAAATGTGACATTACTTGTTGTTCGTTCCTTGCCCAGGCCATCCTTACACTGTGTTATCACCAGTAACACCTGAACGAAGACTAAATGTCTTTGTACCACGGCTGAACAACTCACAACATGACGATGGTCTAGAACCAACCGAAAGGCAGTCTAAAGTATATAATAGAAAAATGTGTTACGAAGAACAGGATTTTTTATAGAAGTGAGTTTCAATAAATTATACCGAGAAGTTCCTCCTTCTAGTAATCACTAAACCTAGAATAGACGGAGTGTTGTCTTCTGCAACAAGAGTTGACCTTCCAGGTACCGCTGGTGACCTTGCTAGAGGTCACTTGACCAATGTTGCTTCATAGACTTTCCGGCCTATTTATTTTCAATTAAAATTATCTGTATTATTGATTCCAATTTTTTTCTATAGACAATTAACCTTAATAATTCTTGAAGTATACTGAGTAGTCCCTCAGTTATCAGAGTTGGTTAATGAGGTTTAAAGCCTATCGACTACACAGTATATATGTCTGTATATATATATATATATATATATATATATATATATATATAATATATATATATATATATATATATATATATATATATATATATAATATATATATATATATATATATATATATATATATATATATATACACAAACACAGTTTTGGAGTGAGATTAACAAGTTAAGGAAGCCTAGAGAACAAATAGATTTGTCAGTTAAAAATAGGAGAGGAGAGTTGTTAAATGGAGAATTAGAGGTATTGGGAAGATGGAGGGAATATTTTGAGGAATTGCTAAATGTTGATGAAGATAGGGAAGCTGTGATTTCGTGTATAGGGCAAGGAGGAATAACATCTTGTAGGAGTGAGGAAGAGCCAGTTATGAGTGTGGGGGAAGTTCGTGAGGCAGTAGGTAAAATGAAAGGGGGTAAGGCAGCCGGGATTGATGGGATAAAGATAGAAATGTTAAAAGCAGGTGGGGATATAGTTTTGGAGTGGTTGGTGCATTTATTTAATAAATGTATGGAAGAAGGTAAGGTACCTAGGGATTGGCAGAGAGCATGCATAGTTCCTTTGTATAAAGGCAAAGGGGACAAAAGAGAGTGCAAAAATTATAGGGGGATAAGTCTGTTGAGTGTACCTGGTAAAGTGTATGGTAGAGTTATTACTGAAAGAATTAAGAGTAAGACGGAGAATAGGATAGCAGACGAACAAGGAGGCTTTAGGAAAGGTAGGGGGTGTGTGGACCAGGTGTTTACAGTGAAACATGTAAGTGAACAGTATTTAGATAAGGCTAAAGAGGTCTTTGTGGCATTTATGGATTTGGAAAAGGCGTATGGCAGGGTGGATAGGGAGGCAATGTGGCAGATGTTGCAGGTGTATGGTGTAGGAGGTAGGTTACTGAAAGCAGTGAAGAGTTTTTACGAGGATAGTGAGGCTCAAGTTAGAGTATGTAGGAAAGAGGGAAATTATTTCCCAGTAAAAGTAGGCCTTAGACAAGGATGTGTGATGTCACCGTGGTTGTTTAATATATTTATAGATGGGGTTGTAAGAGAAGTAAATGCGAGGGTCTTGGCAAGAGGCGTGGAGTTAAAAGATAATCACACATAAAGTGGGAGTTGTCACAGTTGCTCTTTGCTGATGACACCGTGCTCTTGGGAGATTCTGAAGAGAAGTTGCAGAGATTGGTGAATGAATTTGGTAGGGTGTGCAAAAGAAGAAAATTAAAAGTGAATACAGGAAAGAGTAAGGTTATGAGGATAACAAAAAGATTAGATGATGAAAGATTGGATATCAGATTGGAGGGAGAGAGTATGGAGGAGGTGAATGTATTCAGATATTTGGGAGTGGACGTGTCAGCGGATGGGTCTATGAAAGATGAGGTGAATCATAGAATTGATGAGGGGAAAAAGGTGAGTGGTGCACTTAGGAGTCTGTGGAGACAAAGAACTTTGTCCTTGGAGGCAAAGAAGGGAATGTATGAGAGTATAGTTTTACCAACGCTCTTATATGGGTGTGAAGCATGGGTGATGAATGTTGCAGCGAGGAGAAGGCTGGAGGCAGTGGAGATGTCATGTCTGAGGGCAATGTGTGGTGTGAATATAATGCAGAGAATTCGTAGTTTGGAAGTTAGGAGGAGGTGCGGGATTACCAAAACTGTTGTCCAGAGGGCTGAGGAAGGGTTGTTGAGGTGGTTCGGACATGTAGAGAGAATGGAGCGAAATAGAGTGACTTCAAGAGTGTATCAGTATGTAGTGGAAGGAAGGCGGATTAGGGGTCGGCCTAGGAAAGGTTGGAGGGAGGGGGTAAAGGAGGTTTTGTGTGCGAGGGGCTTGGACTTCCAGCAGGCATGCGTGAGCGTGTTTGATAGGAGTGAATGGAGACAAATGATTTTTAATACTTGACGTGCTGTTGGAGTGCGAGCAAAGTAACATTTATGAAGGGATTCAGGGAAACCGGCAGGCCGGACTTGAGTCCTGGAGATGGGAAGTACAGTGCCTGCACTCTGAAGGAGGGGTGTTAATGTTGCAGTTTAAAAACTATAGTGTAAAGCACCCTTCTGGCAAGACAGTGATGGAGTGAATGATAGTGAAAGTTTTTCTTTTTCGGGCCACCCTGCCTTGGTGGGAATCAGCCAGTGTGATAATAAAAAAAAATATTATATATATATATATATATATATATATATATATATATATATATATATATATTGTGTGTTATCAGGTTATTCTCACTTCCAGTTGTTATTAGGGATTCCCGGGGGAAATTAGGGAGTGCTATTATGGAGTCGTTCCCTTGAACGGATCTACCTGAAGCTCCTACTCATTTCTGCAACACTGCAAGCTCCAGATATACCTTTGATATACCTTCGAAGAGTTTCGAGAGTTTCACTACTCTCGGAGCCTGGCCATGGGCCAGGCTCGTCTAGTGCTTGCCTGGTCAACCAGGCTGTTGCTGCTGGAGGCCCACTGCCGTGATGTGCTGATTGCATCACAAAAGGCCTAGAGCTATTATTCACCCCCCCCCCCCCGTGGTTGTTTTGCTTCTCTATAGATACGTTGGTGTCTGTGTGGTGTTAATGGATTTCCTCCCATCTTAAGAGGGTCTACATGACCCCTGCGGATTTAACGCATTAATAATGATGATGAATTTGGATTTAAATAATGTGTGTGTGTGTGTGTGAGGGTAGCCGGGGCATGACAGGGGTAGTGGGCATTCAAGCTACCCACAACCCGGAACTAGCAACACTGCCACCCGTCACCACCAGTAACACACAACACCAGACCACAACACAGCTCTACCGGCTCACCCATGAATGACCAACAACGTTAAATTCACGACGTACATAAGTTAAGGCTGAACAGAAGAGCCTCTGTTATATCATGCTAGGTTGGTATACTGGACTGCCTCTGTTATATCATGTTAGGTTGGTGTACGGGACTGCCTCTGTTATATCATGTTAGGTTGGTATACTGGACTGCCTCTGTTATATCATGTTAGGTTGGTATATTGGACTGCCTCTGTTATATCATGTTAGGTTGGTA